AGATTGTGAGTCGAGCGCCTTATCCACCTGGCCATGCCGGGCCTAGGAATTATGTAACTTTGTCGCATTAAGTTATTCACCTTTTAGTTGTTATCGTCTTTTTCCGTTCTTTATAGGCCTTATAGAACTTTAAAAATCATTTGAAAATTTGCGAAGAGCCCTACATAGCTTTACATTATGCAGATTACGTAAAAGTAATTAAGGTTGCAATAACAGTAACAAAGCGTTGACTTATTGTTGCACTATTATTCGTTGAAAATGTCAATTGAAAAATGGAAACATATCAGTTTCACAAATAAAAACCTACTGTTCTTTATTATTTTTAAATAACAGCGTATCTTGGAAATGAACTTGATATATTTCTCTGTTTTCTACTTACACACATTTGCATTAATTATTATTTGACGTGACTAATGGATCTTTTGTGTCGCCATAGCAACAAAAAAGGTAGCGTGAACGAGACTGATGTAGCCGTTTGACGAGGTTAAGTACGTTATATTAAAACGATTGTACAGCCTTACCATCTCGTTACAGTGTGTGTCGTCATGTACAGTCACGTTCCGTCTGACGGACGTGTACCTTGACAACCGACCTCCAGTATAATTTCCATAGCAAAAGACTCCGTCGTAGGGCTGTCAAATTTACAGCACACTCCTCCTTCCTGCATCTTTACATAACACATCTAATGTAATAGAAAAACCGATAACTACAAGCCAACTAAAAACATATATACACATAGATATGAAGTAAAAAGCCAACAACAATCTAATAAATTAAAGATAAAAATTAAGTGACATAAAAAAGTAAATATAGACGTATATATATATATATAAAAGGAAAGAAAATTAATGTATAGCTCTGTTAAGAAAGCAAAAAGATTAGGGTAAAAGTGAAGTATATAGCAAAAAAGATCTGATGCAAATACTACCAGAAATAGGAGTATGAAGATAATAGAGATGTCAGAATGAAGATTTATATCTGGCTATTCGAGAAGCCTTATTTAATTCTCTTTCCTATCTAGATTTGAAACAATGTCTAAGCCTGTTAGGGACAAATTGTTAATAAGATTTTCAGGTTATTTGAAGTGTTGAGCAATAGGAAGATCTTTCTTGATTCTAATGGAAGATTTTTGGTTGTTGAACCATTCTCTAGGAATGACTAAGGTTTTTCACACTTATTTGAATTTTATGTTATATATATAACGTTAGTGTTTTAACAAATGATATGCTTGTTGAAGTTATGTTTATAAGAAAAGGTGTTAAGGGGTGTTAAAATAAAACAGGTTTGGTGTCTTGAACTATTACAAGGGTGGCTACCACTTAAAGAAAAAGTGATGGCATGCGTAAGAAGTTCCCCGAGACATAGTTTTACTAAAGGAGACACTGGTTTAAGATATTTCATTTTTATCACACACTTGAAGATTGCATACAATGCATCTAATGAGTGCAGTCAAGTCAGAAGCATTTCATAATTGAAGTAATAACAGTTGTGACATTTCTGTGCACAAACACAATTAAAACACTGGTGTTCCGTCCGAGATTGATAGGTGCCCGTAAAAAAATCGTGATTTTAAATTTTAATAAGATATTTAACACTTTTTGTACGATCATAATATTATGAAATATTTCTCTATGTATTAGAATTAGATAATATCGATTTCACATTGAAGAAGAATCATAGAAGATGCCATATTTATTCTACATAATATCTTAGTGGAGAGGTTTGTACCTAAAATATATTATAAGCATAAAAATGTAGAACTTCATTAATATGTAATTTAATTAAATAAATAAATGATTAATATACAAATCTAAAGGGCGCTGCGCGCACAACATACCCTCTACACCGATATTTCACGTGTCTAGTGTTCCGTAAGCCTTTTCTCAGCTGAAAAGTGTTCCGTGGACAAAGAAGTTTGGGAAACGCTGAATTAGAGGGTTAATATAAAAATGACAGCAAAAACATATTTTTTTCAAGATGATGATGATGAAACTGATCTGGGAAGGAAGAGCTAGAAGGCATCATTCGAAGAATATAGAAGACGAATACATATATTTTTTCATCACTAGGGCTTCACATCTTCTGGAATCTGGTCTTCCTCTAAAGATGAGGTGATCAGACTGGCAGCTGCAATAAATACACTGATCTTTACTGCGGCCAACTTCTGCAGTGGTACATAAATACAATTTTGTGAACAGACAATACCAAGAATAAAGCTTGGCAAGTAGTGAGATCTTCTAATCGAATACTAATAGAGCTCATTAATTGATTACATTCAATTAATCGATTTTTCTCACATGAGACTAATCTTCTTGCTTTCAGCTTATTTTGGGGTGTTTAATAACATTTGTGGACAGAACGATTTAGGATTAAGCTACTTTTTAATCCTAAATTGTTGTACATGAAAATGTATCATATACGAAACGAAATGTAGTCTGAAATCGAGAAAAAAGCTCAAAATTTCGATACCATATCTTGCCTCCTCTCAGAAAACAGCTTTTTTCTTGATTAGCACTGCCCTCTATCGGCGCAAACTTTCAACGCTCTGCCTTCCACCTCCCGCTTCTGCATATCCACATGCAGCAGCTCTCCACCAATAGGAGTGCGACGCAACTCCTTTCGTAACCAGCGCCCTCTTCACATTTGCTTCGTTTCTTTTTAATTATGCACAAAGCTACACAAGGGCTATCTGTGCTCTGCCCACCACGGGTATCGAAACCCGGTTTCTAGCGTTGTAAGTCCGCAGACATACCGCTGTGCCACTGGGTGGCCTTTACATCTGCACTCGTTAATCACTTCTTGTTTGGTAGTAGTACTGTACAGAAGTGCTCCTTTTTTGCGCGGATTTGTCGACGTTTTTTTTTACAACAGACTTAGTTTTTCTTTACTACTTATTTAAATTTTCGTGTTTTGGAATTATGTTTCTTTGTTTGTAATTAAGCACAAAGCTACACAATGGGCTATCTGTGCTCTGCCCACCACGGGTATCGAAACCAGGTTTCTAGCATTATAAGTCCGCAGACATATTGCTGTGCTACTGGGGCTTGGAATAGTGAAAGATTGCTTTGTACGACTTTACTTCTTTTTCACTGGCCTTTTTAGTTAATTTATTGTAGATCCCAAAGTGCTGCCTGACCTGGTATAGTTTTTTTTTTGAAAATCCACACTGTCCATCCTGTGACCATGCTCAATGTCAGTTACATCATAGTCCTTACTACCGCGGACCTGATTTATAGTTCCAG